TCTCAAATGTGGAAGATTTATTTTTTCACATACTTAGCACAAATTTGTGAAGGTAAGTAAGATAATCTCTTCCCTTATAGCTTCAATTCTAGCCTAAAATATTAAGGTTTGGCTATGGTGACGAAAATGGGTGTTTTAGAGTGGTTTTGGTTTCAGGGCTTGAGAGTGTTCCTAGGTTGTTTGCTAGTGATTAAAATCACGTTTCTACTCACTTACAGTGGTAATCACCTTGTTTACTTGTTGTTAGTGAGAGAGTTGGAGGAGAGCTCAAAGGCTAATAACAAGGAAAAGTTAGTGTTTGGGTGATATTGAGAGCCCTTTCCATAAGTTGGTATTAAGGTAACACATAACTACCTCCCCCTATACAACAAGTAGGTCATTACACTAAGTTTTCTTGCTTTCTGTATTCATGGGTGCAAATGTGGGTCTTTGTGGGTTTTGGGTAAAATGTGTTATTTGATGTTATTACTTTGTTAGAATGACTTATAATGATGCTAAAAACACCTATAAAACTTAACAAATGTTTGAGAGCCTTAAAGAGTCTTGTGAGGGTTTTTAGGAACCATTTTCGTGCCTAAATAGGTTAATTATGGGTAGGAGTATCGATACTCAGGGAACAATACTGATACTATTCCACGTATAAACTTAAGAAAAAGGGGTTTTAGGTTAGCAATATCGATACTCATTCAATGGGTATCAGCACTTTAGGGTGAGTAATGATACTGTCAAAGGCAATATCAATACCATGGACATTTTGTAAATTTTAGTAGCCATTTTTGGTATCGGTACTCACGGGAGTATCGTTACCAGGGTTAGAGTATCGATAATCTCAGTAGGAGTATCGATGCTGAGAATAATTTTGAAACATCGAAGCCATTTTTGGTATCGATACTCAGGGAAGTATCAATACCCCTAAGTGAGAGTATCAATACTCTCGGTAGAGTATCGATACTGAGTAATTTTTTAAAACATCGAAGTTGATTTTGGTATTAGTACTCAAGGCAATATCAATGCGACAAGGCCAATATTGATATTGCCAGGCCCAATATCGGTACCATCATCCTAGTTTGGATAGAAAACCCAACTATTTTCAAGAGCTTGAAAAGGGGGTTAAGGAAGCATCAAGACTTATCTAATAAGATTACAAGTGAGAACATCAATAATAATTGTTAAAACAAGAACGGTTATTAATGTGCCATAAGACTAGCCTTTGTTTGCCACTTGGGAAACGACAAGGCACCTGTGTTACTTGAGCACATACATATTCGATTTGTGATTGAGATTAGAGATAACCAAAATTTCTCCCTCGGTGCTAAGGCACTTTAGTATCATCGCGTATGCACTTCCATATCAGTGTTGAGGCACTTCCGTAATAAAATGACAAGGCCATGATATGTATTCGTATGATGTGTTAGTGCTCAATAATTTACCATGATTTATGCTTGGTGCATTTCGTTACATCATGACCTAACTTATTATGCATTCGTAGTTAATAGATGCATGTAGTATAATGAAGTCATTTATGTGGCACTGAGCTCATAGCTCAACGTTCGAAATTATTTTCGTTCGCAGATTAGTAGGTACCGGATCGGGAGCTTATCGCTAGACAATGGGTTTTCAGATATCAACGGATTGCAGAGTATGTCTTGATTTTCTTAGTGGGCATGTATTTCATAGATCCTTGTATAAATCGAGTCATAACTATGACGATTTATTTGTATTTGAGATTATTTTGGGAGCTCCCCATTTTTTGTAAACTTAACTATTTTGTTTCTTACTTTACTCTATGGGATGATTTTAAATTATGAATTTGAAACGTTTTCAAGAAAAACTTTGGGTTAGCCACCTTAGTGGTCCCGTGTAATATCCAAACCCATTGGACTTCGGTCAGATCAGATTTAGGTGTTACAACAAGTCAACAGTTAACGTGTTACATCATCTTTTCATCACCGCGGTAACGGTTATTAATGTTGAGTTACCGATTTATTACTTTTGAGACTTCAATAGGGAAAACAAAAATTTATTCAAATATTAATGACCATGTGTAATTTACCCTAAAATTATTGAGAGAATCTAGTTGAAGGTATTCCATGGTAAGTTTATTCAAGGTTTGTGTTTTTTTGGGTTTAAGTCAAATTGAGTTTGAATTAAATATGTTCGGATTGTTAACCTTTTATAATCAATTTAAATATTATGAGTAGAACACATTTAAATTCAACTTGATTAGATAATGTTTTTGAGTTCAGATCAAAATTGGTAGGTTTAGACTTAAGATCATCCAACAGACCTCCCACCATTATATAAAATTATGTTAATTTATTTCCTCAAAATACATATATTGAATGTCCAAAGCATATTTAAACAAAGTTTTAGAACAAGGATTACACAACGTCATAAGCAGCAAACACCAAATAAAATTTTACAACGTTCGACGAGTATTGATGAACACCACTAACGATGAACATCATTAATTTAATTCATAAAAATTTAAAATCTAAATGGTTGAACGTATAATTATAAATAAGTTAAAATTTAAAGGTAAATTATTTAGGGTAAACTATAACATTGGCCACTCAATATTTTAGCCATTTTATTTTTAGCATCGATCTTTCAATTTTGTCAATTAGACAACTTAGTTATTTAATTGTTGTCAATCAAGCCACCTGCCGTTAACATTTGACGAAAGTGCTGACATGGCAGTTAACAAAAATTAACATAATTCCACATTTAGTCCTAATAGTTATATATCAACTTGATCATAATTTTAATTTAATTTAATATATGTGTCATTATTTTATTGAAGGATTTGTTTTATAATTTAAATTTATTTAATTTAATTATTTTTTGACCCACTCATACCATCATCTGATTGGAGGGAAAACAATTAACATAGTAAAGCAGTGTATAAAAAGATTTCATGGGAGTTGAACCTGGATGTAATGGATATAGCATGCAAGACTTTCCCACTGAACCAACCGTATCATTTGAGTTTTAAAATACATATATATATATATATATATATATATATATATTGATTAATACTATACTTAATGCTAGAAAAAAAAATGGAAATGAAGTGATTCGAACATGAGCTAAAAATCTTAAAGAGTATTAAACCATTAAAGTAGATCCTAAATTTTGTTAATTGTTGTATAGTTTTTATATATTTTTTAAATATTAATATTAAAAAATGAATTTAAGATTTTATATTTTTAATCTAAATTTAATATTCTTTTCGCGTTTATAATTCAATGATTATATAAATAATTTTGAACTAAATAATTTTAATTTTATTAATTAAATTAAAAATATTCAATTTAAGGTTATATATAATGATTAAATTATAAATGTGAAAAAACATTACATTTAACTTATAAATATTAAATCTTAAATTTTATTTTTTTAATCTTTATAAAATATATGCAATTGATATCCAAATTTAAGATTTGCTTCAATTTTCTAATATGCCAATGCTTATCGATCTGTATGTTATCGTGTATTGTATAACATAATTGTTTAAGTTGATTCAATGGCAAAAGTAGATGCTTGCGTTCCTGTGAACCTGGGTTTAACTCCCTTAGCTCCTATCAACATTGCTTGGGCTTTTCTACTTTTTTCATCCAACCAGATGTTGACTCGTGTCACCATCTGAGTGGTAGAAAAATAATTAAATTAAATAAATTTAAATTTAAATTCTAAAAATCTTCAATAAGATGTAGACATATGTCACAATTTAATTAGAGGATTAAATTATTGAATTAAATTAAAATTAATACCAAATTGATAGAATATATAATTATTGAGGACTAAATGTAGAATTATACTAATTTTATTAATTGTCACATCAGTACTTATATTAAATATTAACGATAAGTTGTTTAATTGAATATAATTAAATATTTAAGTGGTTGATTGATAAAATTGAAAAATCAATAGTAAAAATAAAAAGGGCTATATAGTTGAGTGGTCAATGGTATAATTTATCCTTAAATAATTTACCATTAAATTTTCAACTAATTTATAATTATACGTTGAATACTACATATTTTTAACATTTTATAAATTAATTTATAGATGTTCATCGTTAGTAATATTCATCGCTGCTCGTCAAACATGAAAGAATCATCAAAATACCAAACTACAATTTAAAAAAAAACACCAAAGTAATGGAGATACGATATTTCATAATTTCATAAATGAGCAGGGCAGGTATGGTACAACCAACAACAAAGCTATCAGCCTACAAAACTTGTTTATCAAACTGAATAGAATTGGAACAACTATTCAAATTTCCAAATCCCATCTACTCTGCAATAATTCTGGGAATATTAGGATTTGTTTATTTCACTGAAAATAATTTTCGGAAAATAAAATCTGAAAAATGAATTATTTTTTAGAAAATATTTTTCAGGAAATATTTTTCAATGTTTTGATGATATATTGTAAAATGTTTTACACTGTTTGGTTAAATTTTCTAAAAACAATTTTTAAAATCTGTTTTTAATAAAGAAGCATACATATTCGATATGTTTTTATTCTTTACCTTTTAGTTTTATTAAAGGTTCATTTTATTTTTTATATAATTATATTTTATAAAAATTTATATTTTTATAAATACGTTAAACTAAATATTTTGTTGATTGTGTTATAAATACACTATTTTAGGTTTAAAATCTTCATGATGCTTATTCATTCGTATTTTTAAAAATGAATTTCAACGTATAATTAATATTGTGTAAGTTTATTTAATATAATATTAATAATTTATTAAAAATATATTATAAAAGTTTATAAATATTATGTAGATTTAATTAATAGTACACCACATGAAAACAACAATAGTACATAACATTGTAATAATAATAAGTGTCAAAATAAATGTCAAGGGCTAATTTCTATATTGTGCCAAAAATAAATAAATCAAAACAACATAGAACGTTGCTATTACTTCCATTCAACTTAATATTGTTAGAGTTGCTTTGAAGCTGCAACAATAAATCAGACAGGTAAACTGAAATATAATCTTTTACTTCACCAAAACTTCATAATGCCTGATAAAACAACACTAATTTCTTTTATGAAAATTGAATAAAAGATAACAATATGAGTGTAACAAATGAGAAACTGATAACATCAAGTGCCAAGTTCAAGCTCGAACTCGGCTCACCTACAGAACCAACACCAGAAAAATAATTCTTGATAACTAAATTCAGATGTCGATACGCAATCTGAGTTTCAGTTTACCGACAATCTTCTGGAAGAACTTCATTCCCCTTCACTTAATATGGGGACAATGAGTGGTTTCATCTGTGCAAGATATACAATTGCCCACCTATCAAAGAAGAAACCAACATTAATAACTAGAGATTTGATTCTAAGGAATTAAGCTCCATAAACATAACTGCGTATCAGTGACCAGCGGAAGGAAAGAAAGAATGCATATAGATTCGTCTCTCGGAGGCTCGATAGTCTATGAAAGGATGCATATTAACATGCTGAATGATGAACACACTATTCGTATGAAGAGTATACAAGCATTCAAGAGTGCCAAAGGAAGAAGAGTGCCAACTAAAAGTATATCTTGGGATATACCTGTAGAATGAATGAGAAGTTAGACTTGGGATTGGGTTTCATATAACAGTTCATCAGATTTTAGTACCTCGAATTATACAACTTTTGAGAAGTATCAAATGATTTTCTGGTTATATTTTTTAAGAGATAGGATGACGGATTTATCATGTGAATCAAAGAAGAATGAAACTCACACTGGAACATGGGTGTGGTAAGACATCACTATGGGTACGCAAAGTAGTTTTGCAATAAAGAGAGCACTGAAAACCTGCAATGCAGTCCATAGAAATCAGGAATGCCTCCTACCACTCCTATTACCTTTTCACTTGAACGAAATCACAATAATCTATCAAGATCTCGTAAAGCAGCAATTAGAAGTGTACCATGATCCCAGGTGAAGAGGCGTGTATTATATCAGGCTTAAACCGTAAGACTTCTGAAATTATTCTTGGACTGAGTGCCAAGGAAAGGGGCACTTTCTGGTACCAAGGACAGGGGAAACTGCAATGAGAAAAGAGAATAAAAATATATTAAAGAACAAATATAAGAAAGAATGTTCAAAGAATAAATTAATGTAACAGAAAAAACATACAGTTATGTCAAACTGTTTGACGCAGATGGTAACTTCAAAACAAAATATAATAGGACCAGAACAAGATTGAAATTTAAGGATGAAGTAAACTAAGATTAACCGACAGTGATAGAGATTTATTCTTGATAATGTGAGGATGTTGTGCATTCATAAATCTTCACAAAAGAAAGTGCTTAACATCTTTCGCGAACCAGGCTATTTGAATACTCAGGGACAAAGACACAAATACTAAATCAATTGTAAATACTCATCTCAAACATTTCTTACACTTTATGTGATTGATAACACTGTTTACCAACCCCTTTTTGAAGTTCAAAATCAAATCTGCTTAAGAATGCTTCGTAAATAGTAACTTTTGCAGGGTTGCACCTCTGGCATGTAAACATTTTAGAATGTGATCAAAGGTTAAGCAACTAGTATTTTGTTTTCTCCTAAATAAAGTTCTATTTCCATTTCTAGATATTTAGCCTTGGAAAGCATAACATCAAGCAAAGAAAAGCACAGGTAAGAACGAAATGGAAATAATGTGGAAGCAGAGTGCAACCTTTAGCTTGAATTTCACAGAGTATACCAACCTTCTCGATCCAATCAGCTTTGCTCCATAGAACTCCTGTGGGACCCCTTCGTGTGTCGTTACAACCATTACCTATTAGGATCAATAACCTTACAGTTAGTTCATCATTGAAAAATGTTTATGCAAACTATTTGCTATAGTAAACATTTGGTCAAAATTTTTAGCTGGTTTGGCTGTGAACTTTTAACTGAGAATGAACTTAAGCTAAACCAGTATTTGTACAGCCTCGTTAGTCGCTTGATCATTATTCCTCTAAGTTCTGTCATCTACAAAATGACTTGAATCAAATAAAAAGAAAAAGAAATAATCTCCTAAGCAATACGACGCCAACTCAAGTGCTCAAGCTTCTTAAGATGCAAACGGGACTTAGACTAAGCTTACATGGAATATGATTCAAAAGCACTGCCATAAACACATTAGCTAACAAATAAATGATCATAGCAGCAAAGCTGAATGCAGATAATGAGCATACCTCATCTCCCATTTCCCTTAAATATTTAATGAAATTCTGGAACCTGTTTTTATACCCTGATATATATCTGCGAAACGGAAACAAATGCATTAGTTCTCAGTGCCAATTTTTTATATCAAAACAGAACAGTTGTAACACATTGACCCTTAAACAATAAGAAAAGATCCAAACTTCCACATAATTGACAGAAAACAACAATGAAATGTAGCTCTCAATTACTAATCACATCAACTAACATGCAAAGTACAATAAGAAGATGAATCAAGAATAAGAATGAAACGTAAAAAGAAACACACTGACCCTTAAACAATAAGAAAAGACCCAAACTTCCACATAATTGACAGAAAACAACAATGAAATGTAGCTGTCAATTACTAATCACATCAACTAACATGCAAAGTACAATAAGAAGATGAATCAAGAATAAGAATGAAACGTAAAAAGAAAAGGTAGAGTGACTCACGAGAAAGGAGAAGGCTCAACAAAAAGAGCAATTCGACGAGGTTTTGAATTATTCTCAGAATCAATCGAAGGAGGATTTTCCTCTTGTTCCCCATCTTCTTCACTCAGCTCTGTAACAGTCGTTTCACTTGCTCTGACAACAGCGACCCTTCTTTTCCTCTCACTCTTCAACCTAGGAAACTCAGAAAAACGTCTTTTTCGACTATACAGGCTAATGGGTATTGATGAAAAAGGCAAAACTTTAACAGAATTGGGAAGGTATAAATTACAAGAAGAAGAATTGCTTGAATTCGAAGAGTATGCAAAGAAAGGGAGAGTAGAGAGATAAAGATTTATTGAGAGCGAAGAGGACATGATGCGGCACTGCATCAGTTAAATGCTAAAGGATGAAAACAATAGCGTTTCGGATTTTGATTAAAATGGAGGTCAAGGAAGATGAAACAAGAAAAGGAGGTCAAGGAAGATGAAAAGGGAGAAGATTAAAAGAGATATACCTGAGAAGACGACCGCCCGTCTCGCCGGTGAGAAGGAGGCCACTGGATCGATCGATTTTCCGGTGTGGAGCAAAAGACGGGAGAACAAAGCTTCTTCTCGATGTGGAGCAAGGGACGGGAGAAAGATGGAAAACAACTTACCCTTTTCCTCTCTCTTTTCCATTGACCGTAAAACAAAATACGTTGATCTTGGTGTTTTATGGGAACCAAACACAGGAAAACGGGGAAACATTTTCCGTAAAATGTTTCCCCGCAACCAAACAGACCCTTAGATTCTTCAGCCAGATTCATGTGTGCTGAAATCTGGAAAAGGAGAAAAAAATATCATGGTTAGAATTTACATATCATCTCACGCCAGGGATAAAAGTGTCTTATGAGATAAGAAATCATGAACCCAGGCTTCTTCAGTTTTCACTCGAGCACTATATTTTTTGGACCATACATCCTCATATGACATTACAATAGGCCAGTCCCACATTTTTGAAAAATTTACCTAATAAAACGGGGAAACGTAGTATTTTGCAATTCAAGTCATCCTAAGAATCTTAATTCACTTCAAACAACAGAAGACTGAATCAAGAACACATTAGAGTCTCTATTGATGTTGGGATACAAGGAAATAACAGTTATTTATTGTACTTAAGCTCTACGGAACCACACTAAGCAGCCATGTTTAGGAAAGCACCCTCTTGCATAAAATGCTTCTCAAACCTTATTTATGGGTATAAGGGGTTGCTTTGACCGGTTCTAGTTCATCCCTTTTGGTTTGGATAAAATCCCGCAATCGGTGCAAGGACAATCACTAATTGGTGATTCTCTGGTGGAGAAACGAGAGAAGGCGTGATAAGAAGATAAATAATGTAGAAAAGAGTTAGGAAGTTAATCCCTCCATCAATCATAGCTTAGAGGTATTTTATGGTGATTCTAGTAGATGGAGTCAGACATAGGTTCATTATGGCTACTCGTAAGTTAGCAGGTTAAATAAATTTGACTGTCAAATCTTGGGTGTAGACACCCGTTTTTGTCCGGGTCTTTTATATTTATTTTTTTATTTTTTATTATTATTAATTATTATTAACTATTATTATTAATTTTCATATTACATTTTTGCAGGCTTAGAAGCCCAATTCAGATTACAAAGGCCCAATCCCGGAGCCCAACAACCCAGACCTGCGGCCCAGCAATCGGCCCAAACCCGCTAGGGTTACCCCTTCTCTGTCTCAGCGCCGCACCATCAAGACCGTTTGATCTGGACCCATCCAATGGTCCAGATCAAAGGCCATTTAGGTATGAAACCCTAACCCTTGTTCTGAGCCCTAACAGCTCAGCCACCGCCACAACCGTTTGGCCTTCCATCTCCCAGCCGTGCTTGAGGTGTCGATGGTGAATCCCGAGCCGGTCGTCATCAGCAATCTGGTCACACAGTGAAGCAAATGTCATCAACAATGTATCAAACTTACCCCAAATCTAAAAACCCATTAAAATAACACCCCAAAATCCCGAAAAATCTAGACTTTATCCACCCAAATCAGAGAAATCAAATCCTATCTACCTAGATATCATCATCATATCACCAAATACTCAACATAAATCAAGGGAACGAAACCAGAAGAGAGGAGAAAAAAAAAACAAAAAAGAAAAAGACAGAGAGAGATTCGAAACAAAAAAACAACAAAAAAAAGGAGAGGCATCTTACCTTTAGAGAGAGATCCGAGCGTTGTATCCTCGCCGGAGTGAAAAGAAGCCACTACCGAAGGTAAAACAACCTCTCTTTTCCTAGATCTAGTTTTTCTTAGGGGTGGGTTTTCGTTTGTTTTTTGGTTGGTTAAGGTCTGGGAGAGGAAGTAGAGTGGTTAAGGTTGTGGTGCTCCCCGTGGCCACCGACTTACGGTGGCCGGGGAGCCGCGTTGTTCTCGTGAGGAGAAACGAGGAAGAAGGGAAAGGGAGAGAAGAACGAGTGAGGCGACTGAGGGAGTTGGGAATGAAAATCAGGTTTTTTCAAACCCTTAAGATGGTATAATCACCGAGTGAAACGGCATCGTTTAAGGGGCTTGGGGGGTCTGCGTGTTTTTACATTTAGGGTTAATCACAGTTTAGGTCCCTCAAGCTTTGTAAGGGTTGTGATCTGGTCACTAAATGAAATCCATGCAATCTTATTTCGAGCCTATAGTTTTATTTTGTTTTATTTGAATCACTAGTTTATATATTATGTATGTTTTATGATCTTCGAATTTGGACCTGTGATTTATGTTTTTTTTTCATTTTAGTCACTGTGCTGGTGTGTTATTTATTTTTGTTAATGTTTTAAATTTGTCCATGATATTTGTGTACATTTTATTCTAGTCACTAATTAGCCTATGGTTTAATTACATTGTAAGGGTCCCCGTGTTTTGTAAGTTGTTTAAGGGCTTAGTGTATTTTATTTATTCTGTACTTCAAGCCCTATATTTTTAAAGTTTACACATTGGTCACTGGACTGGTTATTGTTAATATTTTTGAAAGTTTAGACATTGTACTCTTTATTATGAAACTTTTATCTTGATCACTACTCTCATATTTTGGGTTAAATATCGATTAATGTCTGTTTATTTTACTTTCATATATTTTAGTCCTTATCTGGTTATTATTACATTTTATTAGAGTTCGAATTTGGCCATATTATTTTATGCATGTTTCGTTTTAGTCCCTGTTTAACATTTGGCTTAATTGTGGTTTAGTTCTTTATGTTTTTCATTTCATTTTGGTCCCTAATATGATTTATGGTTTATTTATTTTTACTGTTTTTTTAAAAATATTTGTAATTATTTTAGCCCCTTAAATGTTTAATATTTATTTTGGTCTGTAATATTTACTAATTTGTATTTTAGTCATTTATGTATGGATGTGCATTTTACTCATTAGTTAATTATTGGTATTGTGTTTACTTTAATTTAATGTAAATCTTTGTATTTCCAATCACATTTATTTTCATTATATTTTTATCTATGTAAGAAATATTCGATTATTTTCAAGAACACGTATGCGTAGAATGGGCGTGGAAAGTACCACTTGGTCGAAGTGGTACGATCCGATACGACATTTTAACGACATAGGGACTTGTAACAAGTCGAGTATATTTTACTAATTAATTTATTAAAATGATGTAATGTGTGGTACCTTAAGTGACGCTCACTTTATTTTATGTGAATGTAAATTTTAAATTTTCATTTTATATTCGATACACGTTTTTAAATAAATGATGAGAGAATATTCTTTAAAAGATAAGAAATAGACGAGTTAACTTTCCCGACGGAGAATTGTTAATCTCGAGATTTCTTTTCAAATTAAAGAATTTTCTCTGATAAAATAATTCGAAGTAAATTAATTAAATCTCAATAAACGAATCATATTTTAGTTTTATATTCAATTTGTAATTTCCACCATTTACGACGATGTGTAAGCTACACAGTACCAATTTTGGGCGTTGTGGGGGTGTTTACCCTTCCCCACACGTAACCGACTCCCAAACCTGTTTTAAATGAATCTTTGGTAACGTAGACCAAATTTTTGTCTTATAAAATTATATTTTTCTTAAATTTTTTTTAAAAGACGTTTTTAGGTATTTGACCTACCTAACCCAAAGGTCGATGGCGACTCTTTTCAATTTTATTCAAATCCATTCAAAATCACCAAATTTTCCAAATTAAAGTCATAATTGTTTTTAAAAATAATATTTAATTGTTTTAAAAAAATGGTTATGACAGCTTGGCGACTCCACTGGGGACAGAACTAGAGAGTCAAGCTGTCGGTCGCTTATATATAGTCGTTATGGTTGAAATTATAAGTTCGAATCTTTAGTAAAACTATGATCTATGTATTGAATTTTTATTTATTATTTTATCTCTTTATTTTTATATACTAACATTTTAATTGTTTTCATTTTTTCCAGATGTTTCTTAGTTCTCGTTGAGTTTATTTTCCCTGTTTTTGAGTCAAAGGTTTGTTTGTTTCTCCTCACACACATCACTTTCATTAGCATAACATGAGCTCTAGACATGAGTTTCGATCCAAATTAGTTAGGGTGATTGCTTTACTCTCGTAAGAATTTATTCTTCGTATGAGTTTTGGCAAATAACCCATGGGATACATACCTTATACCTTCGTAGGAATTTATTCCTCGTATGGGTATAAGGCAATGAATCCCCCTCGAATTGAACTCGGTCCGTTTGAAACCTGTAATGGGAGAGGATTGAGGGTTTGGTAGCCCAAGGGGGCACCGACATCAAGGACAATTCGAGTCCTTTTTTTTCCTGTTAGAGCTGAAACCATGCATATAGTGAACCATAGAACGGTCACACTAGGTAGAGTCATACTGAACCTCTGTCCGTCAATAGGTACCCAAAATAGGCGTACACAATGGAGAAACCCTCTAACCTTTTTATTTTATTTTATTTATTTATTTTTGAGTGTGTAGAATAGATTTATTCTGTTAAAGCATGTGAAATAGAATTTAGGTGCAGTTAGAATTTAATTAATTTAGGAGGGTAGAGAGCATGTTCGGGTAGGACCCTTTTTGAGGAATATTATTCGGGTAGATAATACATAAATAGAATAGATTTATTTCCCGTTTTACTTATCTTTTTATGTTAAATTTATGCAATTGTTTTGACTAACTGTTTTGTTTGTTTTGTTTATTTTTTTTCATACTGCATAGACATATCATTAGAAAAGGCGATTGATCTGTGAGTATCGATAAAGTGGAAAGACTTTCACGATGGAAAGGAGTTTCCTAAACAAAGAAGTGAATCCAGCAGATGTAAGGAACTGGTCTGAAGCCAAGCAGAAAGAGCAGGGAGATAGTCTATCAGGGAACTACGTGTCGGATCTGTCTGATTATGCACCAGCTTCTTTAAAACAGAATGAGCTTCAGGGATTGAAAACCATTTGGGAAAGTTGGAATCTTATTGAGAGGCAAGCTTTTCAGCAGACTTATGGGGATATATTTCATCTGATATACGTGAAGGTAGACCCGGTTCTCATACGAAGCATAATACAGTTTTGGAATCCGGCCTATAGTTGTTTCACATTCAACCGAGAGGACATGACTCCAACCCTCGAGGAATACCAATTTCTGTTGAATTTGACAAGCGTTAAAGTGGACAAAGTTTACACCCGGTCGATAAAAGAGCTTTCTTTTAAGTCAAAGCTTGCAAAGATCTCGGGCACAAGCGACAAATGGGTAAATGATCGCTTGCAACGCAAGGGAGAAAGTGAGGGAGTGCCGTGGTCTCACTTACAAAAGATAGCTGAAGCATACGTAGATGAAAACGTGCGTAG